CTGTCATGGTACCCATGCCACTAGGGGAGCGTGAAGGGTATGGTATCCAATCGTTCCTACAGCGCGTAGGGCTCCCGTAGGGGAAGGTGTGGGGTGCTAGTGGAGGCTAGGCAATGTGATCTCTGCAAATGATAAGGCGGGTAACGCGGCCTGGAGCTTGGACGCAGCCAAGGCAGATTTTTCCACCAGTTGTAGCGGCTCTGAATTGCGGAGAAAGGCTGTCCTAGCTGCGCTCCAATTCACGCCGCGTCACACGCCCTATCGTTGACAGGGATCGTGACTGTAGGTTGAGCGAAAGTAACATATAGTCATCATTACACCATGCTGCGTTGTGAGAAACAAACTGCTTGAAGAAGGTTCTTCACAAAGGAATATCAAGGAGGATAAAAAACTCGAAACCTTCAGAGGCCTCTATTTTTTTCTGGATAAGAAGAATTTGGTGTTGTTACACTCCCAGATCACAGCTGTTTACTCTGTTTCTCTGGTGTTACGTCATCCTGGAACCTATGACGTCAACGCTATTTTTCAGGTTCTGAAACGTGCTGACAAAGTCGATGACCACTAGCTCTCTAGCTCCAGATTCTTAGAGAAGACTTCGTTATGTTTTTAGTAATATAGTATTGTGAAATGCGTCAATAAAACATGATTGCCGACTTTGTTTCCTTATACATTTGTTTCCAAGGTTTTGTCCAGCAATTTGCATGTGCCTGTTATATGAAAGTCACTGTTTATAAAGCTGTGCTGGTGTGTGATGCAGGCCTATTTCAGTCAGATATGACAATATTAACAAGATTGTGTAGCTGGCGTCTTACAGTAACGAGTAGCCCCGAATGGAGAACATTTGTTTTTTGGTCGATGCAGTAAATAGTGAAGGTCAATGGAATGTGTATTGTGTCGGCTGTGTGCCTGGCGCGTCGATAAGTACCTTGTGGTCATTCCTTCTCGGCTGGTTGTTATCAATTGTGGGAGCCGTTCGCTGGTAGCTTGGTAGTTGTGGCAGTTTTTCTTTCCGGTTTGTATTAAACACCTCGTAAAGTTCTTCATTAGCGGAGACGAAGCTGGTTTTTTTCTTCTCAGATTCTTCGTTGGCATTCTCTTCACTGCATAAGCGCAACAGATTCCTATGAGCTGTATCCTGAATGCCATTGTGTCATTAATGAAGTTCATACTCTAGTGCGCCTTTATAACCAGAGGAATTGATCACTTTCCTTCATAGTGCTATCTTCCTATGCTTTATAAACTAGCGATCTCTCTGGATTCGGCTCTCTTTCAGTTTTCTCCTCAGATCATTCCTAATACATGGAGTTAGCGCTTCCAGTCAGTGTAAGGGGGAATGGTTCATCGCGCACAAGTCTTCTAGCTAGCTGACCTAAAGACAGCTCTCGCGGTCAAGCAACGCGTAGGGGCCCTCTTTGTTCAAGTAGTCTGGTCCGCAGTCTGGATGGGCCACACTTTGCGGCTTCACAGTAAGTAACGAGGGCGAGGGGCTCCCAAGTGGGGATTCTAAAGACAGACCTCGCCGTTGTATGTCGACAGTAGGGTTCAAAACCTAGAGGTGATATATGATTCCTGGGATGAAAAAGCAAAAAGAAAAATCGTGGAGAACACCCTGAGTTGAGACGTGGCAGCCTCTCTGGGCGGGTTCTCCGAACCTGCTCGTTTAAGCTTGCAAAGCGATATCCGGCAACATCTGTGTGCATTAGTCGTCGTTTCTCTGCGGCATCCATACCATATAACAGTAAAGTAAACGAGAAGCTTTTGTTAAAACTGAACGAACACAGAAAATAGCCATGGACGTCGATCAAGCGGGACGGGAGGCGCAGGGCTGCCACTTCATTGAAGACCGCAGCGCATTTCACTACTTACATCGCTAAAAGAAAATAGTCCTTGACTGTCGATAGCGCGACGGGGGAGGCGCCAGGAACTGTCCAATTATGAAGACCGGCAGCGCTTCACTTACTTACGGTAAAGCGTCGGACACAGGGAATGACCTTGCATAACTCAAGGATCACGACACCTTGTGACAGGAGGAACGGGCTGCGGTCGCTTGAGCCGGGGGTGCCAAACGTCTTGTTTAGTTGGTGCGCCCACGAAACAGTCCTCTCGTGCAACTTAAACGGCCGATCGCTCAAATTGATCGAGCCGAGGCGAGCTCAAATCCGAACAGCTCGTCCATTTTGTGAGCTTTTGCATTGGTGTAATAATTCGTTGGATAGCGTGTTTCTCAAATCCCAGCTTTGCTGTCACGAGATTCTTTTCTTGCGTAGTGTTTTCCGTTTTTTCCGTTCTTTTCCACTGTTAGGTGGTATTGAGCTCTGGATGACGCGAACAGACAAGTAGTAAGCCAGAGGTAGCAGGTTAGCGGTCGGCTGGCATAAAAGGAGGCCATTCAGAGAACCCCACATAAAGCTGTCCAGGGAGAGTTTTTACCATAAAGTGTTCTAAATGGTTTTCTTGCTTTCTTCCTCCATAGATAGTCGCTTAGCGACCATAGGTTTGCAATAATACCCACAGTATGCAATCGCAAGGTCTGCCTTTGAAGGCATATGGCACGATAATCAGGTTCTCGGTCTAAAATGCTAACGACGTACTCTATAGTCGGGAGGACTGCGAAAAAGCAAAGTGAAACGGTCCAAAACCTGCGAAGAAACACCTTCGCTCTTCATGACTCTGAAAGCAATTTCGGACGAGTTTCCTTTGGCATCGTGCCAGTAACCACTGGTAGATACGGCTGCATGTATGTACTCATATATCCATGCAGCACCGCAGCCGCTTCATATCAATCCCTTCGCTTCATATTTTACTTTGCAAATGAAGCAATACGAGCATCAGGTACGGTCGTCCATTTGTGGGCGGGCGGGCGCAGTGGGCGTCGGGTCGGTATGTTGCAGCTTGATAGGGCCTATAAGGGTACCTTCCTTGGAAAAGGCGCTACGCAGCGCCTGCTCAGGGCGCGGAATTCCGTCCTGCCAGGCGTATTAATCCTACTCGTCTTCGGGATTTATCGTGCCAACTGCCTTTAAGCTTCTGGATAGCGTCGGACAGGTTTGAACCAGCTAGCATGGACTGATGCTGAGCCTCGAGTTTTTTGAACTACACCACCGTAGGCTGCAAATATTGGGACTTGACTATTTAAAACCAATTTGTTTCACAGTTAAATAGCCGAAATATCGTGTTATTCTTCAAGACTAGGAGCGCTCATTCTGCGCAGGAATCCAATCGCTGAGCAGTAGTGGACTCTTCCCACTGAGCGCTTTTGACTAATTTGAACCTCTACAATGTTGATTTCCTGTTCCCAGTTGTGGAAGGCATGCATTGATTATCCCTATTCCTGAGCTCTTTGAGCCATCTGGACATGGGAAATGTTTATTGGATTAAAACTTCACGTGATTTATACCTTTTTTACTTTAAATG